CTTACATGATAAATATAGCTGTACATCCACAAAATATAGGTTACTTTGTTTCATAAAGCGCAAAAAAGACAGGCATATTTGTTTTTAAACGCCCCTAAGGGCTTCAAACAATAGGCCCCCCCCATTTCAACAAATTAGTTTTTTTTAGACTAGAAGAGTTCTGCCTTTTAAGACAGGAAAGTATAGCAGTTAAAGTTGCTAGTTGAGAAAATACTTAACCATAGAGATAAAAAATAGCCCTGTGATTCAAATTATAAATTGTATTTGGAATAAAAATGAGAGAACTAGGGGTGCTAAAAAACAGATCCTCCAAGACAGATATTTACATGGGAATGTGGCATATAATTAATTGACATATTACTGATCTTGCTGGATTTTATTCTGCTTTAGTTCCTTAAATTGCAGGATCTTCTTTACTTTATCTTTGCCAGAAGATTTAAACTTTAAAAGCCTTGCACTCATAATTTGCAAGTTGATTTATTTATAAAGAAAATATAAACGCTGCTTAAGCTAATTCAAATGAAATTAAAAGTAAAATAAGTAGCCAACCTTATCACTGTCTATAACCTACTAACAAGGTAAGGAAAGCATCAGATGAGCTACCTGAGAAACTAACGTTACGTTTCCTCACTTTAAAAAGAAACAAACATGGTGGTTCCGTGCCATGTTAATTTGTTTTGACAAAAGTTGCATTTTACGACTTTTTTTACTTTACAAAGCGCAGGCTATTTTAATTATTGTGATCAATTTGCGCCGTCAATCCCAGCGCATGCGCGCTTCATTTGCAGTCTGGACGCTGAGGGTAAACATCCTGCGGCTCTGACTGCAGCGCTGAGACAGACTCCTGCGGGAGAACGGGGTTGGGATGGGGCAGCCGCCCCACGGCAGAGTAGGAACGATACATGCTTTCACGTAAGAGTCTCCAAAAGCCGCCAGTGACACCGTAAAAAGTCGCCAGATTTGTCGCTAGTCGCTTTTTTGAAAAATAGTCGCTGGAGGGGTCTGAAAAGTCGCTGAGTTGGCAACACTGCACACCCACAGCGCTGGCTCGCTCTGTCGTATTTTTTTCTCTTCCCCCGTTTCAGTCAAGTGGATGTGATGACGGCGGCGGCAGATGACGCATTAATCGCGCGACACAACTAATCGATGATGAAATTCGTTGCCAACGCTTTTAAAAGTCGATTTTATCGATTCGTTGTTGCAGCCCTAGTTTATATTTTCCAATAATGAGCTCAAACATATATTTATTGAATGCTTTACTATTGTTGAGAACACAAGAGTACCACAGTACACTGATATTTATGTTATAGACAGATGCCTGCCTTTAGTGCATTGTTTTATAAAGGGCTCAAAAACATTAATGTATATAAAATGACGAATAACAGCCGATACAAATGCCAACATCAATATATCATGCATCCCTAGAATGGACACAACTTCACTTCCATCAATCCATCCATGCCTGGCTTCCCTTTAAGCGGCATCAGTGATTATCCTCCTTCGCAAGCAGCAAAATCAAATTTAGAAATTTTTCCCAAACGTTTTTGACAGCCAAAGTCTATTTATTGAATCTTATATTTCAAAAATCATGTATACACTGAATTGTATTATTTGTGCTTTAATTCTGGTAGGTTTCTTATACTTTAATTTTAAGTCTGTGTCGCATGAGTCTGGCTGCCTCTGGGTAGCTGGCACAATGGCACAATGGCAAAATTATATGTTGAATTTTATTATAACATTGCATATTTTTTCTTGTAAACTTGGAGATATATTTTATTGCATGTTGCATATCTCAGTAAATCTGTTTCACCTTTAAATCAGCAGCTCTCCCTCATTGTGTCTCTGCTCTGCTTAAAAACAGATTTATGAACCTGTCTACCAATATAATGATGCCTGAGAAAATCATTTTCAGGATCTCTAGAAGCTCTGCAGTCTGATTCTCTGTTCAATACGAAAACAACAGATCTGTGTTCATTTTAATCTGTAACTCTGAGTAAGGGTCCTGAGAAGCCCAGCTTTTTTAACTTATGTACAATCTGCTGCTATTTTTAGCTGAAAAAGGTCTGTATGTGTAACTGACAGATTTTTTGGGGGCATCTCTGATTTGTTTAACCAACCAGTCTCCTTTATTTAAACATATATCGGAACAACTGCCAGTTAAAATTAACTGAGTGCTGCTGCGAATGTATGTTAAAATGGCTTGCCACAGTTGTTCAGACGAAACCAACTGTATGTTAAAATGGCTTGCCACAGTGGTTCAGACGAAACCAACTGTATGTTAAAATGGCTTGCCATATCCGTTATCTCTTCTTATCCTCGTAACTACTCTGTACGCAGTAAATATCCCAAAGCTACAGATCCGATGATATTTCACCGAGAGGTGGGACTTGAGAACAGCGGCAGAGCAAGGAAAAAACACGGGCTGAAAACGCTCTGAACACACAGCAGCATCAAACCCCAGTTACTGTTGGCTGAAGTAATTCAGCGGAAAGGGGGAAAAAAGCAGAAGTTATTGGTGGGGAATGTCCCCACCATGCCCAAAGTTGGTGGGAACATGTCCACACCAGTCATTCAGCAAGTTACGCCAGTGCCTAAAAGCTTAAGGAATTTAGATATTTGTGTTGGTTTAATTGGTCCTAAATTCCAACTGGAGATTATTAAACTAGACTTAGCAATAATTACTTTACTTGTGAGCAAAACATGGACTCAAACTGGGACTAAATCAGGTGGCTAAATTAGAGCAAACAATGATTAAAGCACTAGAAACAAGAAAAAGCACTAGATGTAGAGAAAACAAACCATCTGATGTTAATTTGATGTGATCCTATACTCAGTCTCCACATTGATAATTAAGCTAGCTGCTGTATATTTTATTCATATTTACTCAATTACTTTGCTTCAAATATTCATTAATTTACAAAGTGAATTATCTTAGTCCAGATAAGATAAGATAAAATTCAAATGACAGGCCTCGTAACAACTGCTTAGAAATCCCAGTATTTTTTCAATATCTGGCTCAGGCTAAGCTCCGCTGTTGTCAGTACAGTGAATATGTGAGCGTGTGCAAAAATACGGACTGGATATGAATGGCATTCCTTCGTGTGTTAGACTAAGGTTGCGTTGAAAATGCGGAGTGGATTTTTATCAGCATGGTATTTGGTCTGTCATTTTTTAGCATGAAAAATTGGAGTGTGGAGTGTATATGGAGTGAGTGTGCAAAGACACTGAGATGCAGGAGTCTCACGCCCAATGGGTGAGAGTTTACAGCCCTGTAATATTGGCTTCCAGCCGCCACAAATAGTAGGTCCCCAAGAGTCGAATGGGCCTGGGGCAGCTGCTGCTGGATTCCCAGTGACAGCGCACTATGCGTAAGTATGTGGGGGTTTAGATGCATCTGTAAACACTTTACTGACCTTTATGTGTACAAGCATTTAAAATGAAGCAGCAGCTTTTTTGATACTCAGAGCACATGCGGTGTGAACGTAGCATTACACTTTCTGATTTTTTAATTAACCTATAAAACAACATTGTACCTTAAAATTATTGTCTTCCTTATTAATTCAAGTGTTCCCATCAGGTGATTTATGCAAATAGGATACAAGTATGTCTTCAATGTAACAAGCTGCTACAAATAGCTAACAGATATGGTTGCCTACGGGTCCTACTTCTGTGAAGAACAAAGAGGTTGTCCAGTGTAGAGTAATAAACAAGCTAGCCCTCTCTGCAGGTAGGACAGAGTAGTTGCTGGACTACACTGTCCTGTTTCTAACCTTCACTATGGAATTAACTTTCTTGTGAAGTAGGAAACCTGCAGCCTCTGGTTTTAAAGCCCTGCCACCTCATGATTTATCTCTGCCTGGTAAAAGCTACCCTGATGTAGACTCCCTTTTTTCTACCAGTTATTACTTATTATTCTTTCTCACTGGCCTTAGAGTTTGCTCAGCCATGTCTTTGCCCAAATAAGTTGTTGGCTTTCAGTACAAAATGGCACAAATTAACAAGGCAGCGTATTTCACTCTAGTGAGCTTCATATTCCTCTTCTACTCATTTGGCTTCCTGATAGAGATAGTCAGAGTAGCTCCATCTCACTGTGGAGCTGAGTCTGACATGGTCTTCACAAGTACAGTGAGAGCAGGTAGATTGCATCAGAGTGTCGGCCTGAACAGACATTGTGAGCTGTGAACTTACACTGTACGACAAAACCCTGCGGTTTTGTCGTACAGTTTGAGCTGTAGCTGTGTTCAACGATTGAAAAAAATTTCACAGTGTATGCCTGGGTTTAGATGCCGACGCTGTTCACTGCAGTTCCGTTTCTAATAAACATTTTGAGAAATTTGTCTATCCGCCTCTAATACTTGGTCCTAATGTTCTGCGTTTGACAGCTACAGAAACTGTACTTTGCACTTTCTTGCCACTGGATGAAAGGCTATGCTTTTATTTATTGACTATAGGACAAATGAAAATAGTGGGCTGTTTGTTCTAATTGTGTTATTCATGGTCAAGCTATCAGATAAAAATATTTTGCACTTTAATCAAATAATAAATTCCAAATTTATTTAATGAAACTACATTACCTTTTACTTTAACTTTCCATATAAACATAAGCCTTAGAGAAATGATATGTTCCTTAAAATATATTAATCGATTTTCTTTTTTATTTCTGGCTGGCAGGAATAAGGCTTGACCGATAAATCATTTTGTCTTCAGGTCCATTTGGACGGTGGGTCAAAAAGTAAATTTCAGACCCTAATTGTACCCTTTTGGCTATCATAATGAAATATGTGAATTCTAAGCTATTGGTTTTCCATGTGACTGTTATTGGACTTTGGCACAATGTGTGTTTTTTTCTAATAAAAAGCCAAATTAGTTACAGACTGTCCCTTTAAAACTAGGCAGGATTTCTTCATGAAAAAACTTTAATGTTTTTAACATTTCCTGTAATTTCTGGTTATTTCTCAGCGATGGCGAGATATACTAAAACATTGTAGTTTAAAGCCTACCACAGAGCCTTTGGATGTGGACCTCTGATCTTTGCTTGTCATCAAAGTGGTGCTATTATATCCAAGTGTCGTTTTTCCTAAAAAAATAAAAAAATTATTCAATTCAGTTTATGTATATAGAACCAATTCACAACACATGTCATCTCAAGGCACTTTACAATTCAAGCAGATCATAGAGTCAAACCGATTCAAAGTTTTCTATCTAAGGAAAACCAGTTGACTGCATTGACTCAAAGGTAATCCCCCCACACCACTCATGCTTGTAGCGACAGAGAAGAGGAAATCTCCATTTTAACAGAAAGAAACCTCCAGCAGGCCCGGCATGAGCAGCCATCTGCAGAACCCTACTAGGGATCAAGAAGACAGAAAGAAAAAAGCAGAGATACAAAATGCAACTGTCAACCAGCTTCATAAGGAAACACACAGCCAGGCAGACGAGCTCCGAGCCAGCCCCCACGTCAGAGGATGAAGAAAGCAGATCCAGCCAGTCACAGTCAGAGAAACAGGACCACACTGCGAAACAGGCCGAGCTCCAACATCTATAAACAAAGGTGTTGATGGCAGATATTTCAGCTGTGCTACTCAGGCACTTTTGGAGGACCACTATGTTGGGGTGTCCATAGTCTTGGTGGCTGTGGGTACTTAACAGGTGGGGCTACTTTAACTCATTGTTAAACAGCCCGAAGACGGGATTCCAACTCTGATGCCCTTGCCTCCAAAGCTTAAAAAAATAATACACTTATCACACATCCCATTATCACTAAAGGAGGCAGAGGAATAACTAAACAACTAACACAGGAGAGCAGTAGAGAAGAGAGGAAGAAGAGCCTTAAAAGAGTCAAGGGAGGGAGAGAGAGCAGCCATAACTTTGCAAAGCTAGCCCAAGCCTAGGCTAGCTACTACTTACTACCAGAAATAAAACCGTGTGAAAGTGACAAGTGCTCAGTAGAAAAGTGTAGCATATGGCTGGTTAGTTACTTAGATACAGAGATATCACAGAATAAAGAAACTTAATTCAGGCGGAGATAGCCTGAATAACAAGCAGCTCAGCAGTCAAAACAGGAAGTTTAACACGATAAGTCTCACCAACAGCAGCAGTAGCACCCTCTAGTGTCAGGATCTAATCTATTGAGATGCTTGTTATAAGTTGTCTAAGGAAATAAAGCAGGTGTTTGAAATAACTCACTTTCATGTGTGCTGCAGGAAAGCAGTTGAACCAAGCAGCCCGTAGGCATGGTGGCACTGGATTCAGGGTTGGAAGGCAAAGGGGGTGACCCAACTGTTCGCAGTCCTCCCGTTTTGTGCTTGTGTTTGCCTCTGACCTCTGTTAGGACTACCTGCTCTGGGACAGACAGGCAATGGGTCGCTGTGACAGGACCCAGTACCACATGGATCGGGTCAGATGCAGAGGTCGGGTAACAGTGGGTCTGGGAGTATGGGTCCACCCCTGGAACGTAAGTATGAGCCGGGTACACTGAGCCCTGGGCTCCGGTGGTGGAGGCCGTGTGAGTGATAACAGTGGGGGTCACAGTGGTCGTTGTGTAGAACCCAAACTTGTGAGAAGGCAGCGGGTTCAGGAAGGGAATACTTGCAGAAACCGGTTGGTCTGTGTTACTGGTGTATGCTGTAGAAACAGATGCATCATGGTATGACTGATGTCCATATGGCATGGCTCCTGACACTGTGCTGGGTGTATGGTACTCTCCACAATCCTGGCTCGCCCTGGCATGTTCTGAGCGTGGGCTGGATGTAGACAGCTGGGGCAAACCATCAGAAGACAGACTTGGCTGCAAAAAAAGAAAGGATTCACTTTATTTACAAGAACACTGGTTATAATTTCTAAAGTCAGATAAGAAGAAGCAGAATGGGGGTGAGGGTTATTTAATCAGCAGTACTACCTGATTTAGTTGGGGATTAATAAGTAGCTCAGGGGCTGTTACAACAGGAGATGGATGAGGAGCATAAGCTGTGATGGGTGGGCCTTCAAAGTAGCGACAGTCTGCAAAACTACTCTGGTCAGTGAGCTGACCTCGATAATTCAGAAAGATATCTGTAAACACACCACACACCAATAACAGGGTAATCAGACAGACATGTTGAATCAAAAACTTTCCTGGTTACAAATAAAAAGACATGGATATATACAGTATATACAATGCGTCCACATATGACAGTTTTATATTTTCTATTTTATTTTTATAGTAGGATCATTATACAGGGTAATTGCACATGGTGTTTTCATGGGTATTTATATAGAGGTCTGCTCACTCCAAAGTACATCAGCCTCCTCAGGAGTTGGAGATGGCTCTGGCCCTTCATATACAGGGCGTCACTACACTGGAAAAAATGTGAGGGGGGAGGGAGGTATGTAGGTCGGACTTTCAGCTCAGGAGTAATACAGGGGTGGTTGTTTGGGAAGCTCCATAGCCGTCGTGTGGGCACCGTGCTCTCAACGCAGAAGGTCATGTAGTTAGTGATACATTCAAGAAGGCTGTTGATGTTATCACCATGAAAGCTTTGGAACATGCTCCAGTCTGTGGCTTTTAAACAATCCCTCAGTTTCTCAGTTGCTTCATCTAATTCTTTTAAGAGTTATTGGTTTATGTGTTGAATATGTAATTTCTTGTTTTACTGATAGATTTTTAATTATAGCAGGAATGGTCCTCTATTGTTTTGGGACAACACATTTAGATGACTTTGGTGTATATATCTGATCAGATTACACAATAAAAGCCTTGAGGGAAAAGAAACAGAAACAACTAAACTGTCATAACCAGATTCAAAAAGATTGGGAGACCTAGAATTGAACCGTTTCTTGCCTCAAGTCTTGATTAAAAGTAGTATTTATTACTTTTATGTGTTATAGACGTAATCAGACTACAACGTCTTGACGTCTGTGACTTGCAAAATTTTTCCAAATCTAAGATACCGAAACAAACTGTTCAAATGTTTTTTGTTAAAGTCCTAGGGAAGTCATATTTAAATGTCAAATCATTCTGGCAAAGGACACGTTTTGGAGATGAAACTTTGAAAAACATGTACTTAAAAAACATTTTTAAGATTAACCTACCGTATTTTCACGACTATAAGGCGCACTAAAACGTCTTTTTTTCCCCTCAAAATGTGCGGTGCGCCCTTTGGTGCGGTGCGCCTTATGTGTGTTGTAACTGCGACTTTTGAGACCACCTCATTGAGGAGATGATGAAAGAGTGGCTGAATGTAAGGAGACCAGGTGTTTTTTTTCCACTCATCACCATCGCTGTTAATATGTGACTCCATGCGTGCCCATCTCACAGCTGATGTCAAAAACATGGTGAAACAAATTAACGCTGTGCTCGCTGTTCAACCGCTCGACATCGGTGTGAACCGGACCCAGCAGGTGCAGCAGAAGCAGCGAGTTTACATGCAAAGTCAATGGTTGACGCGCGTATAGGTGCAGCAAAAGGTCCCGCAGCGCGTTTTGAGCAGCAGGCGCAGCGCGTCGCGCTGCTGCAGCTCGAGATGGAAAAATTGAAGTTTTGCTGCTGGACGCGCTGCATCAACCAATCAGAGAAGCTGATCTGGGAGCTGACAGGGAGACAGACACAGCGCTCTGATGACATATGATATTAACGCAAATGAAAAAGGCTGGATGGATGAGGAGATGATGAAAGCGTGGCTGAGGGAGGTGTATGTGAGGAGAGCAGGTGCTTTTTTCCACGCATGACCATCGCTGCGTGCCCATCTCACAGCCGATGTGAAAAAAAAGGTGAATCAAATGAACGCTGTGCTCGCCGTTATCCCGGGGGTCTGACAAAGGAACTTCCACCGCTCGACATCGGTGTGAAGCGGCCGTTCAAAGTAAGGCTGCGAGCGGCGTGGGAGCAATGGATGACAGACGGAGACCACAGTTTCAGGATAAGTGGAAGGCAGCGCCATGCAGGCAATTAACGCCACCGTTTGCGGATGGATTGTAGATGCTTGGACTAACGTGTCTGCTGGCTCTGTTGTTCAAGCTTTCGCAAAAGCCGGCATTATTTCTGAGGAGCCGCGCTGCACGGAAAGTGACTCTGACAGCGAAGAAGGGGGAATTGGCATGTCTGATTTAGCGCAGCTGTTTAATTCAGAAACAGAGGATGATGACTTGGATGGGTTTGATTAATACTTTGTAATAAATACATGAATAAAGCACAATCATACTCAGTTTTGCTCCCGCTCTATTTTTCTACCTGAAAACTTAATTCAACAGCAGCCTCTGGGCCGGGTCTCCTCCGGGTTCACCGCGGTGGCTGGCAGGTGTTTTTTCATCTAAATAATCTAAATCTTGCAGCTATATTTTCTGTGATCAGTGGGAATAAAGTAGTTTTAATATGTTTTTAAGTGAGAAAGGCCACCTGAAAACTTAATAATTGCAGTCAGTTCATCCAGATTATTATCGTGCCTATACTATTTCTGTCGGAGGCGCTCAGACCCCCACATACCAGCGGTGCACCGACAGTAAATCCCTTCAACAGCAGCATCACCGCGGCGGCTGGCAGGTGTTTTTCATCTAAACAATTTAAACTGCAGGCACCAGGATACCAGCAATAAAAGCGAACATATTCCGTCGGCAGGTTTCAGGATTTTAAGTTATTTTGGAGTAATCACAGCGCTGTGTCATCTGCGATGTGTCTGTCTCACGGCCAGCTGCCAGGTTTGATTAATACTTTGTAATAAATACATGAATGAAGCACAGTCATACTCAGTTTTGCCCCCGCTGTATTTTTAAATACGCAGTAGAGCTATTTAAAGGTAGTAGAGGACATGTACCGGTATATAAAAAAACGCGCCCTATAGTCCGGTGCGCCTTATGTGTGTGTTAAATACAGAAATGGCACACATAACTGAGACTGCGCCTTTTAGTACGGTGCGCCTTATGGTCGTGAAAATACGGTATCTATTTTCTCAGTCAGGAGACACATCAATAGGGGTGTGGGAAATAATCGTTTTGGCGATATATCGTGATATTCGGTTGCCCAATATAATATCGATCTTTCACTTCTTAGTATCGATTTAAAAAAAAACAAAATGGTTACATAAAACATTGATGGGAAAATGGGCTACCTCTGCACCACCACTCTGGCAGAAAGCGCTGTGGAGCCCTTTAACTGTGCTTGCAGCACCAAATCAGTGGAAGAAAACCCCACACAACATGGATAATAATACCTAATCAATATTTTCTGTTAAAAATATACAGCACTTGCTGTTTTATCTCATCATTTGATTTTGATAGCTGGGGAAAATATGGCAATATATAGTGATACTGCAATATCGTGATAATATCGTATTGTGACCCAAGTATCGCGACATGTATCGAATCGCAACACTCACCTCTACACATCAAGGTTACATACGTAATAATTAATAAAGGTTTTACCTAAGAATCCTCTGGAAAAAACAAGAAGATGTAATAATGAAACATCTGTTTCTTTTTCCAGTTCAAATAGATAAAAAGGCACTAAAGCAGGTGGATGGAAATGGAATACCTGGTATGTCCATGAAATCATCCATGCTGGGCTGCAGTGGAGTCAGGCCTGGCTGGATCATGTCAGCATTGCTTGTGTATGCTGAGAGAAAAGCATAATAGGCATTTATTATTAAAGGAACATGTCTTATTTTGACAGGATATTAGTTTTCAGTCGATAATTTAACAATAACATACCCCTCCTCACTTTTTTACAAACCTTCTTTTCACAGAAATATTGTTTATTTTATTATTAAATATTTATTGTTTCCAACATTATAATCTTAGTCAGATCTGAACTGTAGAGAAGTGCTTCTAAAAGGCAATGTGGTTGGCAGATGTGGAGAATATCAGTTGAAATAACCCAAATTTTCGGCTATGACATTATATTTCAAAACAACAGGCTACTGTCCTTCTGTGCTTCTGATATGAGATGGTACTTGGATAGCTTGGCAGCAGCACATTCAGCAACAAAGAAGAAATGGCTGCACCTTGTGACAGCAGCAAGATACTCTTGCACGGTTTTGGAAATTATTTATGAGCTAACAGGTTTCTTTAGTGTTAAAAACATTCCTATCATCTTGTATTAATAATGGGGCATTCACACAAATCAGTACATCTGTATAAAAAACACATTTGCCAGTTTGGTATGATGTGGTTAGATATTCCCCTGGTCAGGGAGAGTAATTTGAACGGCGGATGAATTCAGTTCACGGGAAAAAGGCTCTGCTGGTGTGATATCTGGAGCTAAGGAACCACAGTGGGGAGAACAGAGGAGTTCGACGGGCAGTGAAAGTACCAGAGCATTAAGTGCCAGAGCGGTGAGAGGCGGTGATGGCTGGCTGTCGTTTGCCTACAAGCTACGGAAGGATGGTGAAAATGAACAGCTTTTTTAAATCCGACCTAAAAACCTAAGAGTACTCCCTACTTCTTCCTTTGTAAAAATTATTTTCTCTATCTTCGAGTTTGATTGAAAAAAAGCTAATTATCTGCTATGATTCACCTTAAATCACAGCCAAAACTAGCCACCAACGATTTTTTTTTGTGACGCAAGAAGACACAAAAGTTCAGATGATCAAATCATTGCAGATTTCTCCGCTGCAGTGGCGCTCTTGCTTTACTGTATTCCCCAACAATAGCAGTCTTTCACCGTCACAACTGTTAAGTTTCTGGCCTGTATACTGGTATGTTTACTTTCATCATTCCTTTTTGGCCTGGTTACTTATTTGGTCTTGCTGTTCTCCTCCTCATTCTAATTACTCATTTCTCCCACCTGCCACCATAAGTAGGCATTTGACCAGTTGGCAGTGCCAGATTTTCTGAAAAGCCATGATGAGTAAGCATCCAGCCTTCCATTTCTGCCTGATTGTTTGATCTTGACCTTGTTTTTGCCTTCTGGATTGCTCTGGTTTGCCCCTGAATGAGCTCACGTCGGCCTCTGTTTTCTGGACATCCACCCTGCTTCTGTTCCCTGGATTTTGTCTCCTGCTAAAACCCTGTATTGGACTGAATTCCCATGCTCTTTCCCTTGCCTGACTCTCTAGTTGTGCTTACTATATCTCCCTCTTGATTATCACGACTCTGTGTGTCTCTGGCTCTGACCCTGATTCTGCCTCCGGACCTACGAGCCCTCCCAGCCCCTTGTTTAAAGCCATCAGGTTTGTCGACTTTTGGATGCTGGACGGATCTGGGCAGCAGTCCCCATCTGCAAAAACCCAATTCTTCGCATGACCAACTGCTGTATGGTCTTGAACCTTTTTGTTGCAAGGACACAGTGTTCTCCCAGCATGCAGCTCCACCCATTACTCCTATGGGTAAGTGTACTTAACAAAACAAAACCAGGTACAAATAAACCAGATGATATATCCCACTGTGACTCTATGAGCAGATCAATGGAAAACATGTTGATGCTCTGCACTTAATTGGATTTATGTTTGAAAAAAATAATTAAAAGGGCTCCGATGCTTTTTGAGGGTGTGGAGAACTCACTGTTGTGTCGGTCGCTGGTCCAGGGACAGGGTTTCTGTGTCATCGTGAACAGAGTGTCGGAGATATCAGAGAGGAGGCAATCCAGGTCAAACATGTGAGCTTCCACTGGAGCAACTTCAGGTTGGTGATAGGAATGACTGGCAAATCTGTCCAGCTTGGCCTGGCTGTTCTGACCCTGGAATGTAGACATAAACTTAAAACATTTCCAAGTGTGATAGCAAGTAGCAGAGAAATTTCTCAGACATGCATCAAAGATGGGCTCAAGATTCAATAAAATGTCAGAGATAAAAGGTTACTTGAATGCCCATAAAAATACCAACGAACCACCATATTCTGGAAAGTAAACTCACAGGAAATGCAGCTCATGACTCGGTCCGTTTCCCTTTGCACACAGCGCTTTTTTGCACCCAGATATTCTGTGTCATCTTCACCGACCAACCCAGATCTGGAGCCTCTCTTATAGGTAAGCCCAGATAGAGACGGAAGCTGCTTTGATTACGTTTGAGGAAACGACATCCCCTCTGAGAAGATTGTTTAGTTTTGCATGCATATCTGTGTGTTTGCTGTATAGAGCCATTATGAAAAAATAGGGAAAACATTTTACTCTCATTGTCAAAAAAAAACACAAACCCCCAAACAGATTCTCATTATGTCGTTTCATTTTGACGTCTCAACTTTTCAAAAACAGCAGCAGCCTTTTGTCCCTGACCTGATTCTGGGAGATGCACACACGTGCAAACAGGAAGACCTGAGGGCCTGGCTAAGCAAACTGTGCTTGGTTGAGTGGGGATAACACACATAAATCTCCAAATCTCCCACCTCTGATGCCACATGTTGACATGTTTTGGGTTCCCTACATCTGAGTGGTGATTCAAAAATATGAGCAAAATCCAAAAAGAAGAAACGAGGGAAAGAAAATAAAGAAATTTACTCTAATATTTGAATTTGAACATTATCCATCTTTAATAAGACATGGATGCCTTAATTACTCAAAACAATACCATCCATCCATCCATCCATCCATCCATCCATCCATGGATGGATGGATGGATGGATGGATGGATGGATGGATTTTGAGGATTTGATTTATTACTGCCAAAATCTGATTTTTTTTAAAGATTATTTTTATGCTCTAGTGGCCCTTATTTTGTTAGTTTTGAAAATATGTACAGGAAAGTGGATTATAAGAGAGGACCTGAATTCGAACCGTCAACAGCTGCTATATGGGTCATGGGCTCCACCTCCATACCATAGCAGCAGCCCTGATTTACAGTTTATAAAACCTCTAACTCAGTCTCAAGTTGTAAAGTTGACACCTTAAGTGATTTTTGTGAGTAACTTCTGATTTGGTAAAAAAAAAGTCTGACTCACTTGAGCCAAAACTGAAGTCATAAAACAAGATTTAAAATGTTCTTAAAACAAGGATGTGCACAAACTCAAATTCTGACCATCCATCCATCCATTATCTGACACGCTTGTCCTGAGAGGGGTCACGAGGGGTGCTGGTGCCTATGTCCAGCAGTCAATGGGCGAGAGGAGGGGTACACCCTGGACAGAACGCCAGTCCATCGCAGGTCAACAAAGAGACATACAGGAAAACCCTTCACAGACACACTCACACCTAAGGAGAATTTAGACAAGTCAATTAACCTGACAGTCATGTTTTTGGACTGTGGGAGACAGTCGGAGTACTCTGTTCCAACACCAGCTTCAGGCCTGGGGGGAGGGCAACATCCTTGTTCTCATTCTGCAGCTCATGCAATATAAGTAAAAAATATCATTAATCTACTCCACAGAGGCCAGAGAGCCTGAGTCTTAAAATATTGTTTGAATAAAACTAATTGCCTTCATTACTTTTGTGAGTTTTTCAGGTTGAATTATCAGTATGTGGCACTGCTCAGGTGTTTTGAGAGTCCAGGTTTCTCTGATGTTGAGCTTCAGCTCTTCTGCATTGTATGGTCTGGCATATTGCATCCTCCTTTCTAGCACTATAAAGCCATACATTTTCTACTAGGTGTTAAGCACAGGTCATGTTGCTTGCCAATTAGGAAAAGGAATATGATGATCCTTAAACCAGGTACTGGTAGCTTGGCACTGTGTTCAGTTGACTAGTCCTGTTGGAAAATGAAATCTGCATCTTTATAAAGTTGGTGACCTTGGACCTCAGAAAACCCAGCAAACCAACAGTAGGAGATTACGTGGCAACCCAAGCCATTACTGACTAAACAACTCATCAGCATTTCAGGCCTTTGTCTTTAGCCCAGTTGAGATGTTGTCACTTGTTCAAGAGCAGCTTGACACAAGGGACGCAAAAGGAAACCCACATTTTGCATACATCTGTGCATTATAGGCTGAAGCATGGACTCTAACTGTAGTCTACTCTTTGTGCATATCCCCTTCATTTTTAATTGGTTTTGTATCACAATACTCTACAGGGAGCTGTTATCCCATTGCTTGTACATTGCTTACGTTCACCTCTCTATTAGTGTAAATGGACAGAGAATTCTGTGAACAGCAAGCCTCTTTTATAACGACCTTATGCGTCTCACTCTCCTTGTCCAAGTTTTCAGTGGTCGACTGGTAGACAGCTGTCAAGTCAGCTGACTTCAACAGCCTTCTGCAGCATTTAGAACCACAGTTAGAGACATTTCAAAGGCGTTGCAGGTTTGGGAGTTGATAAGTTGATTGTTAACGTGTGGCACAAGGCTCTTCAAAATTGAACCTTTAAGCTATATTCAAATTTTTATGAGATTCTGAATTTGGGTCTTTTATCAGTTGTCAGCTGTAATCGTCTAAATTAAAACAATTACAACATATCAGTCTGTTTTTGAGTGGATGTGCTCTCTTCATCCTCTGGCATGGGAGCTGGCTCGGAGCTCGTCTGCCTGGCTGTGTGTTTCCTGGACGGGGCCGCCTTTTACAGCTGCTTTTTGTGTCTCTGCTTCTGTCTCCTTGAACTCCAGTCGGCCTCGGCAGATGGCCGCTCCCACTGAGCCTAGTTCTGCTGGAGGTTTCTTCCTGTAAAAGGGAGTTTTTCCTCTCCACTGTCGCTACAAGCATGTTTAGTGTGAGGGTATTTGTATTTGAGTCAATAAGTCAATGCAATCAACTGGTTTCCTTAGATAGAAAACTTTGTATCAATTTGACTGTATGATCTAGTTGAACTGTAAAGTGCATTGAGATGACGTGTGTTGTGAATTTGGCGCTATATAAATAAACTGAATTGAAATTGAATTGAATTGTTTTTACTAAACTAGTATATTAAATAAGTTTTGCTTTTTGAAAGGAATTACTGAAAAATAAACAACTTTTAAATTGAGTTCTGATTATATAACCAGTACCGTTATAGGTCTACCTTAAGATTAATTAATTTAATCTCAGATTAATCTGGTGGAGGATAGAAATTTCAATATATATCTTCTTTTTCAGGATCCATTAGAATTTAATGAACCAACTCAGAAAGAGGTTAGATATGAGAATTATGCCACAGTGGCTTTAGGAACTGTGTAGTTTCTCTGTTCTTTATTCAGTAGAGACAGGATGTATGTATACTTTTGAGCAAGGGAGAAAAATCCCAAGTATTAGAGAACAATGCACAACAAAGGTGAATTTGAACATATTTATTATGTATTAAATATTTATTATATTTTTATTATTATTAAAGTTTGTATTTATTTATTCTATTTAATTTTTATTTATTCTATTTAATTTCATTCTTCTAAAATTTACATTTTATATGAGTCTTTATTCAATTTAATTCAGTAATGAAATCATCTAAAGCTGGAAAAGGGTGCCTTCTCTGGGTTGGGGAGGATGTACTGCCCCTAGTGGAGGATTTAAACTATCTTGGGGTCTTGTTCATGAATGAGGAGGGGATGGAGCAGGAGATAAACAGGCAGATTGGTACAACATCTGCTGTAAAACAGGCAAGGTACCAGTCCCTTGTAGTGAAAGAGAGCTGAGTCAAAAGCGGACGATCTACGTTCCTACCCTTATCTATGGTCATGAGCTCAGGGTCATGACCGAAAGAATGAGAACCTGGATACAAGTGGCCAAAATGGGTTTTCTCCGTAGTGTGTCTGGGCTCTCCCTTAGAAATAAGGTGAGAAACTCAGTCACCCGGGGAGGACTCATATTAGAGCCACTGCTTGGGATTCCCCCAGATGAGCTGGTCCAAGTGTCTTGGCAGAAGTCATCTGGGCCTCCCTACTGAAGATGCTACACCAACGACCCGACCCTGGATAAGCAGAAAATGAATGGATGGATGGATAGATTAAATACTTAGGTTTTCAGTGTCTTTATCCTTGTAAGTAAAGGTCCAGCAGGTTATATCTTGGTTTGGTGTTCGGTTAATTATGGCTTGCTTTATTCTTTTGTTTTTGCCGGTTAGGGTTTGCCATATTATTTCTGTTTTTACAGCTGTTTTCTAGTTAGTTTCTCTCTATTTGTTGTTTTTTCTTTGTTTTTATGCTGTATTTTGCTTTCTCCAGTAATCATTGCTGAACTTTTGGTTTTCTTTGTTTCTTCCTTGAATGTTTATCACCCAGAACACCCTCCCCTTAGCCAGAGCCAACTGTTATTTTGTAGACTCAGTTCACCTGTGTCCCCTTATTCACTTATTGCTTTCCGCTGTTTTCTCCATAACCTTCTGCTTGCCCTAAATATTCATTAGGATTAATGACTTGGGGAGTCAACAAGAGAAGAATAGGCGATGTTTACCTCTGTGATTTGGATATACTAACTTTAGCTAAGTATTTCAGGCTGCACAATTGTCATAAACTGGTATGGCACATAATGGCAGCTCAGGTAAATAATAAAGACGGAGATTAGACAAGAGTTTGGAATTTGAAAAGAGAGAGGTAGATGTTGTGTTGCTCCCCTTAGTATTACCAGTAAACATTATTACCCAACACATAAAGCACAGCGGACCACTTCTTGCTGGATCAGTAGGTGATTTATTTTCAAACTAACAGTCCTATAGTTACATGGAACATTCCTATGCCCTAGTGGCAGTCTGCCCTCTGGCGGTAATTACTGGTATGGTTCAAACATAACATCTTCTCCCTACTAAGACTTGTTGTCAATAACAAACAATTACAAAGTTACAGTTTTAAACTACATATGGTTACATAACATACAACACTACAGCAGTATATTTCCCATTAAACCACATAA